AGCATTTATAACTTTGGAAATGTACATAGAGTAGATGTCACAGAAATAAAGGTCAAATAGAGACCCCTGAGTAGACAAAACCATTAGAGATAGAAATAAGTCATAAAAGATCTACTTACTTAAAAATTTTCTGTAGTTCAATTGTATTTATAGGCTAATTCTGTGTAATTTTAAGGAATATCTGGCTCTGTTTTTTGCTTATGGAATCAGATGAAAATCCATCCTTGTTACTTTCATACCACAGAACAGAAGCAAAACTTTACAGGTTGAAAATGACTAGAAACTTAACCACAAACTGTGTTTATTTAGAAATTGTAAATAAATTATTAGCAATACAACTGAGATCGAGCAATAAGTATGTAACAAAATAAATTATGATAAGTAGACATTATTTCAGGAATTTAATGAAGATTTAAAATTAGGAAATCTTTAACTTAATCTAGCACATTGGCAGAGTAAATAGGAAGATTTTCATGAAGGTCTCAATTGGTGGAGAAAAGGCATTTAATAGAAACTCAGTGGCTGCTGCTACAGAATTAAAGCCAATCTGTTGAGTCCTGAATCCGAAGTGATGGTATTTATTCATGGAGCTTTGGGGAGGTAATTAGAGTTGGACGACTCATGAGAGGGGGGTGCTCATGCTAGGATTAGGGACTTTATGATCTCTCTCTCTCTCTCATAAATGAATATGAAGAAGGCACTATCTATAAGCCAGGAGGAGAGATATCACCAAGAATTAAATCTCATGATGCCTTGATCTGGGCCTTCCAGATTCTCAAACTTTGAGAAAATTAATTTCTATTGTTTAAGATGCCTACTGTATGGTCTTCTTTTCCTCCACCCCAGTTGTTATGGCAACACAACATGACAAATACATTTGTTTATAATAAAAGTTGGAATTAAGCTGCATGTGGTGGCTTACACTGATAATCCTGGTGCTTGGAGTCTGAGGCAAGAGTATTACTATGAATTTGAAGTTAGCCTGGACTACGTAGTGAGTTCCAGGCCAGCTTGGGCAAAAGAATAAAGTCTGCCTCAGAAAAAAATAGTATTAAGCCAGGAAACGAAAACCAAAAAATCCCCTAAGTGATACGTGTAGCATTTATATTAACATTTTGCTTGTGTGGGGAGCATGCATATGTGGGATCGTATGGTGTTAGAATGTTTGATTTGACAAGAAACTGCCAAGTTATTTTCTAAAATGATTCTACCATCTTGCATCTATTGTATGAGAAATCTGGTTGCCTCTCATCCTTACTAAGCACCTTGAGCTGTCAGGTTTGTTTGAATTTAATTTTGGATCAGTTTAGGTTCAAAGTAAAATCAAGACAAGAGCACAGAGATCCTCCAAATACCACCCCCTATGCATACACAGATATGTGTTTTCCTCCTACGTTATCTATATTCCCCATTTGCTACAACTGGTAGATGTACATCAATCAATTCATTGCCACCATCCAGTATTAAAGACATGTGTTGGAGATTTTTCTTGGTGTGTGCTTACTATGGGTTTGAACACATTTCAAATGACAGGCACCTAGCTATCCCTTCCACTCCTTACCCTGGCAATCTTTAATGTTTCATTGTCTACAGTCGTGGTATTTTTGTCTGCTTGTGGCTGTTATTTTGAACCCCTGATTTAATTAGGGTTGCATGCTCTCCTTAACTAAGTTTAATTAAGATTACATGTGTGAGCATGGATGGAGGGTTGTGTACTTTGGAAAGAACAACTTACTAGCGACTACACCACTAAGGAGTACAGCTCCCTGTCTCCCAACAACCGTTCACTGCCTCCAGCTTCTCATAGAGGCTGGACCTCGCGAGCCCTACCTGTACTACGGTAGATATATTTATATTATTTATTGCTTCTTGTGGGTTTTTGCATATTGCAAAAGTATTTTAAGTATTGGGTCTGATTCATCTACTTTATCAATATTCCTTTTTAATTTTTTGACAAAGTGTCTGCCTATGTAGACTAAGCTAGCCCAGAATTTGCTATAAAGTCTAGGCTAGGCTCAGGCCTATAATGTGATGTAATGCCCACTCTAGCTGTGCTGAAATTATATCCTTTTCATGCCCGGGGAATCTAGAAACTTCTCTTGTCTGTTTCTGGTATTCATAATTTTTGCCTTAGTGTGTGTCTTTCTTACTTAGGGTAGCTAGAGGCCTCTCAGCTTTATTTAGCTCACAGAGAACAGCTTTGGATTTTATTGATTTGAAAAGACTGAAATTATTTTATGTGTGTGTCTGCTGTGCTTGTATGTATCTCTATGCACCATGTGCAGACCTGATGCCTGCAGGGGTCAGAAGAGGATATCAGGTCCTCTGGAACCGGACTTAACGATGATTGTGAGTTGCTGTGTGGGTTCTGGGAATCAAGCATGGGGCTTCTGCCAGAGCAGTCAGTGCCCTTAACCCCCAAGCACTCTCTCCAGCACCCGATTTTATTGATCTTAATCTCTTGATTTCTAGTGCTTGATTCCACCAGTCTTTGCTCTGGTTTTATTTTTTATGTTTTTTCTACTTATTTAGTATTTATCTTGTGTTTTTGGTTGTTTATGTTTTCTGAGTTTGGGATTTACAGTGCTGTTTTTTAGAAATTTCTCTCTCCCTCTCTTTTGTTCTGGCAGGTTCCTCTGCTCCAGGACCCCTTAGCATCTCTGTATGATATGGCTTTTGACAGGCTTTATCTTCATCTACTTACAATACTTTAAATTTTAATTTGAAAAATTTGACCTATTATTGGGGAGTGTGCTGTTTATTTTTCTACTGTTTTGGGATTCTTCAGAAATATTTTTATTATTTTCTAGTTTATTAATTAATTAGTTATTAATTTCTAGTTATTCTACTGTGGCCTGAGACTAGATATTATGTAGTTTCTATTACTTTAAATTTGTTAAGGTGAGCTCTCTGGCTTAAGATGTGACATCTTGATGAGACTCCCATGCAAGCTTGAGGATAACATGCATTCTGTTGCTAATTGGGTGAAGCAATGTGTTGGGGGATGAACCCTGGTGCGCACACTCCTGTACCCCAACACGCTTAGCTGTTCTAGCAGATGCATTGTTTACCTGGCTGTGATCTTGATTTCACTTCCACTGTGTGTCTTTTTACTTACTTATTTGTTACTTTGTTTTCTCTTTTAGTACTTTAATGAGCGTGTAGTGGCTGTCCATTAAATTGGATTCCGTGTAGCATTTACGCACACGCATGTGTCTTGTCTGCCTCCCACCCGCCCCAAGAATAGTTATCACTAGTCCACTTTCCTCTCCTCATTTTTCCGCTTACGCATAGGACTCAGGGTACTTGTCTTTCAGTGTCTTTCACTTAATGTTATTTACTCTTTATTTATTTATTTATTCATTGACAAATGGCAGGGCTCCAATCTCCTTTACGGCTGAACAACGCTCCATTGTATGTTTATATCACATTTTCTTTAGCCAGTCATTTGTTGTTGGGCATCTCAACTTTTCTATACTGTATCACCATGAATAATAGCACAGCAACTTTGGGCACTCAGGCAGCTCCTGAGCACACATTGCTTTTATTGCCTTGGTCATACACACAAAAGTCGGACAGCTGAATCATGTGGTTGTTCTAATATGGAGCTTTCTTTGTAGACCAGGCTGGCTTTGAACTCACAGAGATCACCTACCTCTGCCTCCCAAGTGCTGGGATTAAAGCTGTGCACCAATATGTCTAGCTTATAGCAGTTTTCTGAGGACCCTCTATATTGTTATCCATAATGGTTGAGCCGATGCAAACCTACAGGCATAGGTTATTTTTTCTGCATCCTCACCAGCAATCATTCAAATTACCCTCCTTTTTGCTTTTCAAAAGACTTAAAGGTTTTAAATTTTTTTATTGAATTGCAAGTTTTCTTTCTGTATTCTGAATAAAAGTCCTTAACCTGATACACCTGATATTTTCTCTGTGTATGAGTCATGTGGTTGCATTTTATTATCAGTGTCTTTGGAGGAACAGAGATTTATATTTTGTTGTAGTTCAATTTGTCAAATTATTCATGAACTGTGGTGTTATATATATATATATGAAATGTTTACCTGGCCCAACAACCTAAAGACTTTAGTATTTTCTTCTGGAAGTTAAGGTGTTATGCTTCTATCTGTGATCCAATTTGAAATTTTCAAATACACTGCAAGGTGTGGGTTGAGGTTCATTTAGTTCTCTTGGAGTCTTGCACCAGTTTTTGTTAAGACAAACCTTTTTCTATTGAATTATTTTTTTGTCACTAACCATATAAGGATCTCTCTAGAACTCTACTCCATTGATGGATGTGTGTCTGTCCTCACCTCAGCAACCCTGAGCCAGCAGCTGTACCTTCAGTCTTTTAATTTGTGAAACATTTTATGTAATGAGTGTTCTACCAGCGTGTATGTATGTGTATGTGCATGCCTGCTGCCCTTGGAGGACAGAAGGGGGCATCAGATCCCCTGGAACCCGAGTTACAGATGACTATGAACCCACATGTGGGTTCTGGAACACCTCTGTAAGAGCAATTGGTGCTCTTAACCACTGAGCAATCTCTGCAGCCCCACTCTCAGCCTAACTGCCACATAGTAGAGTCCACCTTCCAGAGAACTGACTTATTAACAAGTTCGAGTCTTCCAATCTTTGAACACATTTCCATTTTCAAATGTTATTTAATTATTTTCCAACAAGTCGATAAATTTTAGGGAGAGGAAGGAATTATTATCCAGAAGCAATAATGATATGAAGAAGCAATAATGATATACATCTGCAGTGTCTACTGTTTCACACCTGGAAGTTGGGATATAGCCTGGATCATTTTCTTGTATGCAGCTGACATTCTACAACTCTTTTTGAAGAATGAGTTGACATGCCGACAAAGCTTGTTATTCTATGAACACACTAACACGCAGGCCACGAGACTGTTGAACAAAATAAATAGGTAGCAAAAGAAACACTTTTTGATACTTGGAGCATATGTTATTCCATAACTATTTATTATTTTCCAGAGAGAATAAGAGATTAACAATCATCTGAGACAGACAAATGCTGAAGCTGAGTTGTAAAACCACTTTGTTAGCCGGGCGGTGGTGGCACACACCTTTAATCCCAGCTCTCGGGAGGCAGAGGAAGGCAGATCTCCGTGAGCTTGAGGTCAGCCTTATCTACAGAGCGATTTCCAGGACTACCAGGGCTACACAGAGAAATGCTGTCTCAAAAAACCAAACCAAACCAAACCAAACCAAAACAACAACAAAAAAAGTGCTTTGTTCCAAGTTGGATAAATGTGTTAGTTGTAGCTGACTCCTTGTTGGATCAGGAGACTGGTCCACAATGCAGAGCGGGGGCTGTACCTCTGTGGTCAACAGTTGACAGTCTGTGTGTCTGCAATGGAAAGATGCTTATAGAGGGTCCATATCCTCCTCACAGGCCATTCTCCATGGTATCCTCCTCAGTGACCCTTTGAAACATCCAGGAAAGTCCATCTAGCACAGCTGGGAAAGCAAAGGAGTCAGAGAAGGAACACAGTTCTGAAATACGAAAAATGGCATCCGAGTTGTGACTCAGCACTTGCCATGATGGTGCCATGGAGAAGTTCCTTAACAAATTACATGAATTTATTCATTGTGTGCGCACACACACCCGCACATGCACGCACATAACATAGTGCACACGTGGTAATCAGAGGACAACTTGGGGAAATTGGTTCTGTCTTTCTACTGCGTGGGACCTGGGGATCAAACGCAGGTCATCGGGCTTGGCGGCCAGAGCCTTTAACCTCTGAGCCATCTAGCTGCTCCTGAGAAGTGACTTTTTATTTCCAAATCTCAAGTTCCTTATCTGGAAAGCAGGGAAGCTCATAGGGACTCTGAAGCCTGTTCCAAGTCATAAATGAAACAAGATATGAAAAGAGCTCAGAAGATAGCAGCCACTCTGTAGTGACACTTGAACAACATTGGCACACATCGTTCTGGAAGTCTGACTACACTGTTCTCTGAGATCCATGACTAAGGCTTTATAAGAGTGTTCTGTTGACTTCATTTGCATTGTTACTCTTTCTTGGCTTGTTAAATGATCTGCTTCCTGTAAATAAACCTTGACTGAAACAATCTTCTGCTTGTAAAGGCAACAAGCAACCTAGGCAAAGCCTTGGTGGCTTCCCAAACCTGCGGAAAAGTCCCAAGGAACAGCAGCGTGCCTCTCTTGATGCAGTCCTCAGTGACTTTTCTTCAGCAAGGTCCATAAACAAGCTTTACTCCACACTTAAATTTTAGTGTCTGTTTTTCTCAGTGCCGGGTGGCACGTTTCCCTTCATCCTTGGAAGTGTAGTCATTAAATGCTGGAGATGGATAGGTCCTGGGCTTGTGCATCTGGTGCGCCACCTCTGCCCGCTTTGCTTAAGGCTGTTAAGCTTTCCTAGGGGCCAGGAGCTACTGGGGGGGAGGGTCGAGGTGGAGCAGGTCTGGGGAGAGTCAGTGAGCTCTTGGGAATGAATCCTTCCCACTAGAGGGCAAAGGTGGATTCCAGTACATTTAAGACTGTTCTCTGAATTACTCTTAGCAGTCCTTGGAGGAGGTTTATGAAGAGACATATGCTCTCAGTATTTGACTAAACACACAGACACTAAAATGTGGTGTACTCACAAGCTGTGCACAGGTACTGAATGCTAAACAGCTGGAACTCTTGGGCATCTGCTCAAGGAGAAATCTCAGCCCTCAGTACCACAACCTTCCTCGTATAACACCGGAGAGCAGGACAGAGAGTCTCAGTAGACAGGGGAAGGGTGGAGAGAGACGAGGGGAGAGCAGAACAGGTGTGGGAGGGAGGGGAAGAAAGGAATAGAGATGAGAAATAAAGGAGAGACAGAGGCAGACAGAGAGCGACAGGGGTGAGAGGGGAAGGGGATAGCACAGTAGAAGCTGTTTACAGCATCTGGCTGATTTAAAGGAAAAGCACAACAAAACACATAAGGATCTAGCCTGGGCACGTGCCCTCCAGGACTGGCCCAGACCTCCCCTTAGCCAGATTTGCATTCCTCATCTTCCCTTGAAGGAGGTGCGCCATTGGCTCGAGCTCCTCCTGCAGCCTTTTGTTGCTGCCTGCTGCGGAACCCCAGACCTTACTGTCTCAGATACTGGGCTTGGAATGACCATGTGGCTCTGAGCCTCCGCTTTTCTGTCGGGTCCCATGTGCTTGGCCAGGAGACCCAGGTTCTGCTTCAGACTCGTTTCTTCCTTGAGTGAGTGACGTGACATCCTAAACGCAGATGGACTGCCCTGAGCTCCACAGCTGTGAGCAGGCCACTGTGGACAGCTGAGGTGTGATACTGAGGTAGATTTTTATCATTTATCTGGGGAAGTTGCAAATTGTCTCAGTCACAAAAGCTGATATGACAAATTCAAACAACCAGGCTCCACAGAATCAAGGGGCGACCCTAGCTAGTTCACCGATGTCTAAGTGTTGAACTGTATGATGTCTAAGGATGCTTTTGCGCCCAACTGTACAAGTGAAGCGCTCTTATGCATAGGCAGTGATTTTCCTCCGAGTGAAAGCTTACTCTCTCCATTGGCACAACCAAAGAAGACCTGAGTCTGCTGCTCAAGAATCTTACCTGTGTATTTACCAAGAGTTGCTCTGCTGCTGGGTCCTGAGACAGACTAACAAAAAAGGTACTTCATCCGGGTGTGGTGGTACACACTGTTGACTCCGGCACCTGGGAAGCAGAGACATGTGGATCTCTCTATGAGTTTGAGGCTAACCTGGTCTACATAGTGAGTTCCATGCCAACCAGGGCTACATAGTAAGACCCTATCTCAAAAGAAGGGTCTGTGAAATAAGTTGTGTGCAAGGGAGCACCCCCTGCCCCCATCAGCATTTCCATTAGTTAGTTGAAGAATGTCTTTTCGTGTGGAATTAATATTTACTAATAATTCTACTTTACTGGGCAACTGCTTCACTCCTCTGTCCCTCGTTTTCAGTCGGGCAGTCATGGTGGAGCCATACTCCCAGGCGCCTCCATATTTGCAGCCCAGCTCAGAGGCTCTGATGGGAAGGCTTATGATGTGGGAAGTCCTGTGATTATGTCAATAAAGCACTGTTGAGCCAATAGGGAACCAAGATAGGAGGGACTAGGAGACCGGAAGGACTCTGGGTAGGAAAAAACACAGAGAGTCAAGATGTAACGCCATGGGGTAGGAAGCCTGGAACTATTCTCCGGTAAGAGAAATACTTAGATTAACAATTATGGGGTAATTACTTAAATCAGAGCTAGCCAGTAAGAAACAAACAAGGCCAACAGCTTCATAATTAATATAACCTCCTGTGTGTTTATTTGGGACTGATGGGGCTCTAGAACTAGGCTGTCGGGAAGGCTTCTCTTTACAGGCTTACATGAAGCAACACAAGCTCCACTTTCCTTGACTGTGAAGCCAGGGAAGTGGGAGCCCCAGGTCTTTGTTACAGGCTGTGGGAGAAAGCCACGCAGAGGATAAGCTAAGCAGACAGGTAGGTGGATCATTACCGGAGCCGGAAGGTCCAGCTCATGGATTAGAGCAGATGCAAGGAGACGCAGAGGCGATCTGTGTTACCCTCCTGTTGCTGTCACAACAAATGAAGATAATGTAGTGGGTTAGGGCACCATCTTCTCTGGATTCCCCATCTTTGGCTCCTTCAGTCTTTTCATGCCTCCTAGATACAGATGTCTCATATATGGTTGAGCACTCCACTGACACGAGTTTACTGCTCAGGGAGTAAGCAGTCACTCAGAGGGAAAAAAACCACTGCCTAGGGTGCAGTGGCATGGCCACAAGAGCTGGTATGATGGGGGTACAAATCCATTCTTAGATATCATGTCATTCAATACGTTGAAATCAGTGAAGGCCATTCCTTTATTCTGTTCAGCCTGGTTGTTGGATTTGTGCCATTTAACTCTTATGCCCTCTGTGTGTATGTGTATATGTGAGAGTGGGTGTGCATGTGCCAAGATGAGCACATGCCAAGTGAGACCCTGTCTAAAAAAAAAAGCCTTTCAAATAATTTGTGTGCAAGGGAGCATCTTGGCGTGTGTCGAAGCAGTCAGAGGACAGCTCCCAGGAGAAGGTTCTCACCTTCCACATTTATCCAATCAGGAATCAGCCAGTTACTCCACACTATTTGCGACAACACTGTACTCATGAACTTATCTTGCCATTCCGGTTATTACTGTAGTTCACAGGGTTTGTAGCTGGGTAAAATTGTTGATGACATCTCCCCTAGTGATCTATATAGCACCTGGTACTGTGGAACGTGCCAGCAGGGAAGGAGGTTCCTGGTCAGTACCAATTTTATATCTTCCTGTCCTGCGACCAAAGTGTGTGGTGTCTTCGGCAATAGGGTTTCGCCATAGAGTTCTGGTGTGCAACCAAGAGCAAAGGCGATAGTGTGTATCGTTATGGAGGAATCTCCTTTTCTTCTGGCTTCTACAGGATGAGTACATTTCTGGCTAATGATCCCTTCAATGTTCAATTTTTGCTTCCTCCATTCCACCTCTCTGAAATCCCTCCCCTTCCCCTTTGTGATCACTACTTAGTGTCTTCAAGGTCATGTCAAGGTTGACTAGCAATTTGCCTTCTATCACTGTCACCTGTCCTTGCTGTGTAACACACATTTTCAGTTCCTGGGGATAATGCTGCGGCTGTCATGGGATCTTTACTCTGTCTGTTATGCCAGTAGATAATAATGAGATAGCCTGAATTAATATCTCCCAGATAGTCAAAGTGCAGGGTTATGGGGGTTGAAGTGGGTTTAACTAAAAGGATCCCAGGGGTGAAGGCACAGTTGATTCGAAGTCCACTCATTGCTGGCTGGAGAATATGCTGTATACACTTTACAGTGCTTAGGTCCTGGTCATTCAGTTCCCCCGGCTTCAGAGTCCTTCGCATTTGCCACTCATTTTAATGGTTAAGACACTTTTGTGTCTTCCCTCTTGGCTCCTCAAACCCTCACACATTCACCATCTACTGGTTTGGCAGCCAGCACCGGTACTCTGATGGTCCAGATGTCTTTGGGTCTGGTACTCACTCATCTTGCCCTTAGCTATTTAGGCCTCACCTCTAACCACCAGTGCTTGTTCCACGTGCTCTAAGGGGTGAGGCTGGACCAGGCCAAGCTCCTGCACACGCCTGCTTTCCCTCTGCTCTATGCTGTCAGGGCAGCATCAGCTCTGCCTGCTCTGTGCTCATCACAAGTTTGTCTTGATCCAGATGGATTTCAAAATCTTCTGTTCCCTCTTCACACACATTTCAATCATAAGAAGAGCTCTTTGTGACAATGTTTGTGTTTGTTCTCTGTTACCCATTCTTCCTCTTATATCTTGTATGTGTCCTTTTGTAGTGTTGTTTTCCTCCTAAGTACCTGGATGTGCAGCGGGAGGGGGAGCAGCTCATCTCCACTCTCCCAGTCCATCCACAGACTAGCAAGCACTCAGCGCAGCATTCAGAAGCAAGGAGAGACCTACTTATTGGGTGCAGGGGGTGCTCTGCACACAATTGCCATCATTCTTTGTGTCCTTATGTCCGACTTCACACTTGGTGCTGCATATATTGTTTATTAAAACTTCCAGCGACAGGAAACACTGTTGATCTCATCCAACATACCAGGAAACTGAGGCATAAGAATGTTTAATTTATCTAATGTCACAGAGTATAAAGTGACACAATGGGGACAAAAACTCAGCCAGCTTCTCAAACATGTAAGCAATCCCCTTGTCTTAATTATTTTCTACTGCTGTCATAAGACCCAATGACCAATACAACTTATAGAAGAAAGGTTTTCCTTGGGAATTACAGTTTCAGAGGGTTGGGATCCATGACTCTCGTGGCATGGAAGCATGGCAGCAAGACCAAGCACTAAGACAGTAGCTTAGAGTGCACATCTTGAAATACAATCATGAGACTGAGTGCTAACTGGGAATGGCATGGTTTTTGAAACCTGCCAAGGCCTGTTCCCAGTGACACACCTCCTATAATAAAGCCACACATTTTAACCCTTCCCAAAGACTTCCACCAACTGGGGACCAAGTATTCAAACATGTGAACCTATGGGGGCTTGTTCTGTTCTAACCACCATGCCTCTGTACTGCCCTAAAGGGTCGACAGAGATAGTATCTGTTCTTAGTGGAGGTCCCGGGCATTCAGATCTTCTTTCTGGGAGTGAGTCTGACCCTTTGGGGGTGGGTAGAGAGTCTTGGAACTCATGATCCTCCTGTGTCAGCCTCCTGAGTTCTGGAATGGTAAGGTGTGCCCTCACATCTGGATTCAGGTTGAGATGTTTGCAGTATCATTGACTCTCTCTGGCCTATGGTCCGGTTGAGCTGGATTCTTCCAATGGTGCTTCTTTAGGGGAAAGACAGGGGCAGGATAGTCTTGAACATCTTTACATACAGAGCTGGATAGGGCATAAAGCAAATCGCAGCTGCGGCCATTGCTTTCTGTTGAAAGTGGGGGAAGTAGGCAGTTTCTCAGCTGTCCAGCCTTCGCCAAGGTAAAAGCAAGGTGGACGCTTGACTCCCGTCACCTTCACCTATTCTTGCTTATTTGCTTATAGACTATTTTAAATCATACCTTATTTGTTTAAAGACTCACTCAGTAGAAACAAATAGAAGTTATTTCCCTTCTATTTATCTTGTTTAGGGGCCAGAATTAATTGACAACTGCATTTGTTTCCTAAGACAACCATGAGAAACACAAACTGAGTGACATAAACAAAAGAATGTCTATGTCTGGCATTTTGGAGGCTAATGTCCTGAGCCTTGGCAGTGCTGTCCCCTTTTAAGGCCCTAGAGGAGAATCTAGTCCCTGGCTCTGCTTTACGCCACAGTCATTGGCATCCCATAGCCACACCCCTCAAATCTCTGCTTCCTCTGTTACATAGCCTTCCCAAGCTCTCCTCTTAATCTCTCTTCTAATAATTCATTTGGCAACATAGAATCTTTACATTCACATAGAAAGTGCACATACCTCTCTCTGAACAGTAGAAGCCTGTTAGCAAACTAGGACCCCACTTGTATCAAGGTATATGCATAACCCTCTCTGGATTATAGAATGAATATCTTCTCTCCTTAATGATCATCAAACTTAGACAGATTCTATTCCTAATACCTCCACGTAGAAGGCTAGGAGGACCAGTCCAGCCTGCATTAATTTTTGGGAGTGTGTAAGGCAAAGTATATCCTTTGAGTGAACTTTTAGAGAAAAATCCCTCTTTATCGTCTTATGCCTACATATAATTGGGCATGCACGTGATTAAAATCAGATGCATTATGGAAAGGGACACGTGCAATGAGCAAATCCTACAGAATTCAAGTTTGTCAATCAAAACAGAGAACTACCCATGCTATGCCTTAGCAGCCAAAGTTGTCTTTCCCTTGAACCCCATAAATGAAGCCTGTGGAATAACCAGGGTCCTGGAGTACCCTCATTCATATGGCCCACTGTCACTCATGAAAATGTATTTGGCCTGTATTATCACTTTGCTTTGAAAAAAGTCTCCTTACAAACCAGTGAGCCCTTACTTCAATCCTTTGACTTAGAGGTCAAGCGGTTAGAAACACCTATCTGAGACCCTGACCAACAGTAATGGCATCTTGGGAAGGGTAGTTTAAGGTATAACCTGGCAAACAAGTTAACACAGCCTTCTCAGAAACCTGCCATTACAGGCAAGCTTGAGTGTATATTTGATCGCATTAAGACATGGTTAGGGGCTTAGTAGAACACACTTCTAGGGCTGTCTTTGAGGGTATTTCCAAAGACAATCAGATTACAAACAACTGAACTGATTCTTTGATGTCAGGATCGGGAGTTGGTGAGTTGGAGGTGGAGCCTATTTAGAGGAAGTAGGTAACTGAGTCGTCCTTGGGGTATTTCTCACTGTGGCTCCATACTGTAGACCCCTTTTTTCTGCTTCAGAAGCGAACAGCTCTTGCCAGTACATGCCCCGCCACTGTGATGTTAGGGTACATGGTGCCAAGCAGCCATGGACAAATCCTATGAAGTCATGGACCACAATAACTCCTCCCTCAGACTGTCACTGTCAGGTAGTTTTGGCCATGGTGATGGAAAGCTTCTTTGTCACTTTCTTAGTCTCCGGTTCTTCAGATGTCTACACTTTTCAGAGGTCAACATACTTGTCATCATCAGACTCATTCAGCCTGGGGTCTTAACTAGGGGCTTCAGGTGCTG